CTGGTATCTACCACATCTAGAGGCACTAGGCTTAGCAACAAAGATACAATGTCACGTAATCCCTTTCCTCACAGAATACATGGTAAGGTAGAGGACAGCAATGAGTACACATTCCATTACCATATACAATATGAATAGAGTATGTTAAAGCTAGACTGTTATGGGAATAAATAAGGCAAACAGTTTAAAAATTAGTAAAATTTTTTTAATTTAAAAAATTAATAATCATCAGAAGGATCAAAAAACAGTCTCCAAGGGAAAACTGAAACAAAGCTTTGTAAACAAGGAGTACAAGGGAGGGGAGGGGAAGGGGAAAAACAAGCAGGCTCTACCACGCACAGGCGCAAATTCCCCATGATGAACATTATCGTGTATATCTAAAGTGTACAAATAAAAAGATAAAAAATCATTTCAAGAAACATAAAAACCAGCAGCTTAACTGTGAATTTATCAAATCCTCTACAGGTTAAAAAGTCTAGTCAGAAGTTGCAGGGAACAATAACATCCAAGGCTTGCCAATGTCATCAGTGCTAAAGAGCACGTTTAGCATGTGTGATGCCCTGGGGCTCTCTGGGTTCAATCCCCAGCACCTCAGAAAAAAAGAGAAGGAGGGAGAAAAAAGGAGCAAGGGGGGGACGGGGGGAGAGAAGAAAGGGAAGAAGAGGAAGGGAAGGACAGAAAGGCCATCATTTATCCTGGACTGGCCAAGTATCTTTAAAAAAGTACCATTTAAGTTGAAGGCCTGGAACAAACTTTCAAATAAACTGAATTTTAGGTGTATTATAAAATTACATGTAAAAAAGCCAATTAATAACAATACGCCCTTCTAAAAATATTTTATATATAGCAAATACCATATACTAATTTATTATATCATATATAATATACTATATGGTAAATTTGGAGTGGGTATAGCACTGAAATGTTTTGTAAACTTAATTGTACTTATTTATTAGACGTTCCACCTTTGCTACCTCATTTTAAGAAAGGCATTTGTAAACTACTAAATTTTAGTTTCCTAGGAACCAATCTGAAACAAAGTTTATATTGTCCATAAAGAAGCATAACATTTATTTTTAATTTTTTACTAATCAGAAAATTAGAAATGGCTCAATAAAAAAATTCAGACTCTATACACTCATCACTTCCATGCTTGCCATTCTTTTCCAGATAAAAATGAAGGGCAAGGGGATGGCAAAGCATGAGATCCTTTTGTTTAGAGGCATGGACTCCTGGGGCTGTTAAATCATTGTTTACTTGGGCTTTACATTAAGAACTAGTACTTAAAGACGGGCATGGTGGCTCACTACTGTAATCCCAGGTCTGTGAAGGCTGAGGCTGAAGGACTGCTGTCAGTCTGAGGTCAGCCTGGGTTACACAGCAAGTTAAAAAAGCTTGAGAAGACACTGTCTCAAAAGAAAAAAAAAAAAAAAAAAGAGAGAAAAGAACAAAGAACTGATATTTAATGTTTACACTGTGTATCACTCAAAATTTTGTAAAATGTCTAATATTTGTTCCTATGTCAAATTAAGCGACCATGTAATAAAATACTCAGACTAACCTTTAAGCATAAAACCATATTCTATACTTATAATATTCATTCTTACACAAATTTCTATGGTAATTAACAACCCTGGATAGTCTTCCATTTTTATTTAATAAACACTTTCTTCTGTACAGTATGTGCAGCCACAGCCTTCAAGTCCTAACAATTCTTTCACAAAGCTTCTTTGTAACTTAACTAAGAAAACAGGGATTCACAACCAATTAGAGAAATTCTGTTTCTTATAATCTCTTATATTACCTCTCCTCTACTCCATTTTCACTGAATCAGTAATAAATTAGTTCAGGCCCTCCTCGCCTCTTGGAACTACTGCAAAAGCTCTCTCAATAGTGCATTCCTTTGAAACCTATCCTGAACATTTCCTCAATTCCCTAACACTGCTTTCACGATGCCTTGCCTCAGCTCAATAATTTCCAATGGATTCTCACTGCCTAGAGCAGTAAATTAGGAAAAAATGACAATGAAGTAACACTGTATTTTAGAAATAACTACAATAAAAACTTTTTTGTTTTATAACACAAGTTGCCATAAGCAAAGCACTTTGATGTCAGAACACAGATTACAGTAGGAAAATCCAAATTCGGCATCCAACACCCTCCAGCAGCCACAGCCCTCACGCATCTTCAGTCTTAACACTTGTTCAGAACACAAGAGAGACCAGCTCAAAGTCAACTCGACTAATATTGTTTATATTTCCTTCAAATCATTTCTATTTAGATTCCCTTGCATAATCTCAAAGACTAGACAGCTAACTAAGCACTTTTTGAACTGAAAGGACATTTTTTTTTTTTTCCATGAAAAGTGCCCATCAAGTGAGAGGCATTAGCCTCCCTTCAATGTGACTGCACTTCAGGAGATGTTCCACACACAACTGCTAACTGCAGAAGTGCGACTTGCCAATAGCTGGAAAGCTACGTCAACTGAAAACCTGTGTAAATGGCAATGTTCAATACCCGAGTCAGATCCGCAAACCCGCTTCTGGTTAGTCTGTTTCCAATGATGCTCTGCACATTTCTCACCTCCTTTGTCTTTACTCTACTGGTCCTCTCAGCCTCTCTCAATTTGCAGGACTTGTAGCTTAGCTCCAAAATTACAGCATTATTTAAGGAGTATGTTTCTAAAATATTTTAAAGCCAAACATTATTTTACCATGGCTTCTGACCCACATTGTCTGTCTGAAGCCCAACTCTCCACTCTCATCTGCCACCATTGTCACAAATTCTTCTCAGTACTCTGACTAGGTACAGTACTCTTAAGAAGCTCATTGCGACCTTAGGGCTTTTGCCCTAGTTGCAGCTTGAAGACTTTCTTTGTGTCACCCTCCTAAAAGGAGGCCCACACTCAAGTTATCTTCTGTTTACTTATCACACACCACCACTGCAGTCTATGTGATTATTACCTCCCAAGGCTGAGCACAAGTGTCACTACTGTTCCACTCTCAAAGCCTGGAACAGTGCCCGAGTCTTAGAAGCAAATCATAATGGACTCAGTTAACATGTAAATTTCTGTGAATTAAGAAATCCAGATGCACTGAACTGGTTTAAAACTATCCATGGTCATAATCACTGTTCTTGCATTTATAAAAGAAACTTTAGCTCCCAAATAAGTATCAACGATGTGGGGGCCTGGGCCTACCTAGCTCAGTCCTTTAAGTGGCTGCTTCCACAAAGCGGTCAGCCTCAGGTGGCTGGAGTTCGAACCTCACAACTCTCCCGCAAACGTGCCCTGAAGGCATGCGAGGAACAAAAAAAAAAAAAAAAAAAATTGGCAATATTCTCTCTCCTTTGTCTCCTAAATCTAGTATCCCAACAGTCAATATTCCAAAATAATGCTGTCCTCCTGAATCCCGATGTTCAAAAAACAAAACTCTTCTCTTTGTTCCCATGTAGGAATATAACATGGCAAGTTGGTATGCTTTTTGCCAAGCATTAAAAATCCTACTTAAATACTTATTCATAATCTTTTACCTTATTGTCCCTCAAATGTGTCTTTTCCATACCAAAAAAGGAAGCCTGAATTACTCCTCAAATGCTAAAGTCTTTAGTAATTATTGTTGAGTAATGCTTGGAGTACCTCAACATAAAAACATTACTCAGAAGCATCATAACTGGCCATGTTAGACTTGTGAATTGAAAAAATCATGTCATTTCAGACACCCTTTTCTAAAGAAATAAACCACCAAATCCTACAAGCCCATGAAGATTTCTCAGCAGTTAAATCACTTAATTCTACACCTTTATAAAATGTCTAACTGCTAGACTGACACTGCGTCCCTAAAGCACTGAACTACTTAGCAATATACATATAAAAGGATGCACTCTTGATCTCTAACATTTGATTTTTTTCCTTTCCACAATAATTTTCCAAGGCGAAAAGGACAATAAAACTACGTGTCTAAAAATAAAAATGTAATAATACGCTATCAAGTACTTATGTGAATGGAAAGACCTGAAAGCTATTTCTCAGGCCATAAAAAAATGCGGTCTCTCAATATGAAAAATAGTATTTCTAACCAAAATTTGAAAACGTCTGTCTCAAAACATTTCCTTGAGTCTCACGGCAATATTTGCCACAAATTCAGTTAGCTAATTTCTCCGGAAGGAATCCACAGGTTTTCGGTTTTAAGAATGTCAACCATTTTGCCTTTTCTCTAAGATACAATTACGACGCAGTAAGGGGCTGCGCGGGTCCACATTAACAACTGGTAGCTCCTCTCACCCTGCAGCTGAGACCCGGGCCGAACCTTGGCCCTGCGGAACACAATGCCCAGATCCTGTTTCCTGGCTGGGTTCACATGGTAGAGGGCTGCCACATTACCCCGGGGGAGCAGGGCGGTGGCAGGACTTTGCCAGGAGTCTCTCCTTCCCAGTGCTCTCCGCACCACGCCACTGGAGGCGCCCTCCCTTCACCGCAGTTGGGTCAATGTGGACGTTCTCCAACCGGCCAGCTCCCTCCGGCGCAGCGAGGGGGAGGGGAGCTGCGCGGACCCCCACGGCCGGAGGGCGGAGCAGCGCTGGGGCTGCACGCGAGCGAACAGTCCCTCGGCGAAGCTGCACCTTTTCTTTAGTAGCTACAGTCGGCCGGACAAAAGCCCCTCCTAATATTTTTAGTTAGGGTGCCACAGCCTTCCCATCTCCACCTCACGGCCAAGCCAGCCCACAGAATCTGCAAGCCCCGTTCCTCTCCAACACATCCCAGCTCCTACTAGGGGCAGTGCCTAACTTCCGGGACGCAATAGTGAAGGTGCTACAGCGAAGAACTGGAGAGGTGCGGGGTACACGTGTTCCCCGAAACCCAGACAGACAATAAAGAACAAGCCCGCCCCACCCTTTTCTCCGTGCTTCCCCCCAGGGGGGCGCCGTCCCCCAGACGTCCGCAGACAAAGCCCCCGGGGCGGAGAGGAGGCCCTGCACACAAAAGGGGGCGCGGCACTCACCCACTGAGCCCGAGGAGCCCCTGCGCTTGGGCGCGGCCGGGGTGGAGGGGGGCGCGGCGGGCGCCACGGCAGGCGGGGTCCACGCTGGCTCGGCCTGGGGGCTCCCGCCGGCGGGGGGCGGCGGGGGGGGCCGCGCGGGAGGCTCGTCGTCGTCCTCGGGGAGCTGGACGGGCGAGACTGCGGCGGCCGCGGGCAGGGATGGCGTGGGCACTGCTGACGACGGGGGGCTCGGGTCCCACGCTGGCGGCCGTTCCGGGGCGGCTGGGGGAACGGCCGGCAGGGGTCCCCGGGGCGCCGGCGGCGCGAAGTCGTTTCCGAAGTCCAGCAGGGGCGCGGCGGCCGCGGGGGCGGGCGGCACTGGGGCCGCAGACATCCCGGCGGCGGGCTTCCTCTCTAGCACCTCCAGCTCCTCCAGGTCCTCGTCCTCGTCCTCCTCCTCCTCATCTTCCTCTTCCTCCTCGTCCTCCGGGTCCCTCACGAACTGGTACTTGAAGGCGGGCTGCGGCCGGGGCGCGCTGTCCGCGGACGAGGACACCAAGGGCGACTGGTCCAGGTCCTCCATGGCCAGCGGGTCGGGGATGATGCTGCAGCCGCCGCCGCCGCTGCCGCCACCGAGGGCGCTTCTCTCCTTAGAGCCGCGGGCAGTGGTGGGGGTTGGGGAAAACAGACAGGGGCAGGGCCGACCGAGCTAAGGGAACTGCGGTGGCGACGGCTCCCGGAACAATGAGACTGCTCCTCCTGCCGCCTCGCCTGTGATGCGCCACCCGCCCCGTCCCCAGCTACCGCCGCCGCCCAGACGCGAGAAGGAGAGAGGCCAGGAGACTCTCCGCCCAGTTTGGCGTGACTCACCCTCCCCCGGCGGGAAGGGCAGGTACTGGCGCGGGACGGAGAGAACCAATCGGCGGCGGGGTAGCAAAAATGGGCAGCTAGCCAGCCCAACAGTAAGGGAAAGAGTTGAAAGTGGGTGGGGCTTATTGCACTTCCTCTCTCTAACCGGCTGGCGTTATTTGATGGGCGGAGTTTGGAGCCTAAGAGCTCCACCCCCACCCTGGGTAGCTGAAGGGGGGTGGGGTGGGGTGGGGTGGGGTCTTGCTTGCCTGCAGCTAGAGGTGGGTCTGTTGTTAGAACCCTGCCAGAGGGGCGGGCTGCCAGAGCTGAGGGTTTGTACAGGTTCCTAACGGGCCACCGGAAGGGCGTTAGCCTGGGGGGCGGGGGCCGGGGGCACTGGGGTTGGAAACTTTCCTCCCGGAAAAGGGAAAAACCGGACTAGAGAAATATATTAACATTACTATGAAGTCGGATTTAAGAATTCAAAAAGATTTTGAAGTGAAAGACTATACTTTTACAAACTTAAATTCCCAAACCACATGCCTACCACCCTAAAAGAAAAGGAAGGATGGACTATTTTTGACAGTTGTAGGCTCACTCCAGTCCGAACTGCAGATTGAGGCATGAGATAGACAAAACAGCTGTGCTAGATAATCTGAGATTGTGGGGCTGACCACGCTGAAAATCAGCTCTGCCAAAGAGACCATGGGTTCTGTCTTGTACTGGATAGACTTTTACATAGTAGGAGAATGAGTCATCCAAAAAGGAGAAAGGGAAGAGGGGAAAGCTGAAACAATAAGATGCCTCGGGAGGCAGATTACATTACGTTTCAGTCACCTTAGGCTCATGAGTCAACATTGCAGATGATTCAGCCTTTCTGAGACTCAGGAACCTTAATACTCATGGGTCTGATACGTGAAAATACGTTATGTTCCCCAGTCCGCCTTTTGCAAAGCTGGAGAATTTAAAGTGGTTGCAGAACATATAAGAACTAAACATTCAGAGGTAAAGAAGCCTTTATCTTTCTAATATAAGTTTCAAGAACACCGGCTGCAATCCTATTCTGGAGGACTGCAGAGAGAAAGATGACCATCGTGCAGGTTGTTCACAGTCTATAAGCTGTTCACTAACCTAGTCACTGACTACTTATGTCTACCAAGCACTTGACATGTCTGAAAATTTACACTGCATTTCCAGAATTAATATCAAAAACTTTTTTTAAAATTGTAAAAAAAAAAACCACTTGATTCTTCACATTGGTTACATGTTGAAAATGATACTACAGTATTCAGGAAGTGTTGGATAAGAACCATTCATGAAAGCAACTCCCAACATTTTTTTAAAGCATGGTTAACATTATATTCCTATTGGATGGTGCTAGTCTACACTAATATTTAAGAAATTTTGATTGCCATAGAGAATTATTTATTATTTAAGCAAGTTCTTAACTCCAATCAATTGATGTTACCCTAGTCTTATTTTGGGAGTTAAAGAAAAGTAGTTGTGGGGAGGAATAAATAGATTGAGCACAGACTTTTTTTTTTTAGGGCAGTGAAACTATTTTATATTATATTGTAATGCTGGAGATATTACATTTTACAGAGGAGAAAGCTCATGTAACAATCCAACAGAAAAAAGTAAACTGTAATGTAAGCTCTGTTCTTTACTTAATGATCATCAATACAAGGGATTGGGATGTAACTCAGTGGCAGGATGCTTGCCTAACATGTACATGGCACTGGGTTTGAGCCCAGCACAATAAAAAATATATAGGATTATTATTATCAATTGTAACAAATAGGCCACATCAATATAAGATATTAATAAAATGTATGCTGGTTGCGTGGACAAAAACAGTATGTGAGAATGCTGGACTTAAACCTCTTCCTCTTTTCTGTAAATTTAAGAAATAAGAGTTTTAGTGCCAGTTAGTCACATCTAGTTACAGTAATGTACAACAAACTAAGAAAGTTTTTTTATTTAAAAAAGTAAAAGTAGAGCAAGATTTCCTGGCAATGTTACTTTAACAGGTTAACTAGCAATCTATTCAACTGTGATCACATGAATTCCACAGAGATGAACTGGCTTTCTACAACTGGCTTTGAGTTTGGTTTTATTTTACCAGAGGGATTAGCAAGAGGCATGTTGGTATAATATTTAGGGGCAGGAGGTTAATGCCAAATTAAAACTTTTAAATAGATTCAAAAAAATAATGACTAAAGTAACCGGATGTAAAGTCTTATCAAAAATTGCTAAAGAGCATGTCTAGCTTTCAATCAATTTCATAGGTATATGAAAATATTCTAACAACATTCTGTGGTATGAATTTGTCTGTTAGTCACAGTTTAGGCGGTCCCACACTGCTATGATTGTTCTGAAATTCCTAGTGGGCAGTTTCACAGGGTTTTAACACATTGTTTATAAATTTCTTATATGACATATCTGCTTTCATGTGTCTCTGTTCTTACTACTGCTGAAGTAGTCTCAAGAGAAGATCATTAACAAAAGTTTTATGAAAGAATGATTAGAGGAAAGTGGCAAGTTTACAAATTTAATAATGAGCAGTACTAAGTATCAAGCAATAACATAGCACTCTGATGCAGAATAGAAATAGATTTTGATTAATCTCAGTGATTGCTATTTGATGGATGAATATAAAGTTTTATCTGTTGTTCATAGAATGCTCAACAAAACACAAAAGACGACAATGTTACAGCTATACTAAAATTTAAATGGCTAGCTACATACTAATATAATTAGATGTAAATATTACTCTAAGAAGAAGATTTTGTGGGCACTTGAAATGGTTACAAATTCTACATCATCATAATAATTTAAAAATAATTCTTCAATGAGTTATGTTTTAAAATGCCTTACCAGAGAAAGAAAATTAAGGTTTCTGGATGACACCAGTTACTAACTTCTCCCTCAGAACACAAATCTTAAAGTGATAGAATCTCAAGGGTTGAAGGCCTACGAGAGGTCAGCCTGACCAATCACCCTCCAGTTACAATAGTTCTCTAACAGAAGGTTTTTTTTTTTTAGAGCTGGTCATTTGTGATAAATTTTGAAAAATAGAGGGGAGGCAGTTACCCTACCTCTTCTGAGCTGGCCTTGTAACTTTCTTGAGCCAATAAATAACCTAGAAGAGTTCCAAGCATCACCATCAGAGCATCACAGCTTTCACTCACTCTTCTAGAATGATGACACTCTGAAGAAGCTCCACTTCTTCATGCTGGTGGCTGAGGTACACATGGAGACAGACCTGAGCTGTCCCAGCCACTCGGCGGAACCCTTGAAATGTGAGGCCGTCCGGGACTGTCCAGCCTGTCCATAGAGTCATAAAAAATAATGAATCATGGTTGTTTAAAGCTACTACCTTCCAGATAGTTCATTTCATAGTAAAAATTAGTTGAAATATCATCTAATTTTTGCTTCTATCTTTTGTTTTTGGATTCATACAAGAAGCACTTGCTGGGTATGTGCTCTGTACCAAGCCCTGTTCAAGACAAGGGAAATATAGCAATAAACAATAAAAAATATGCTCGTACATGTGCAGCAAAGGGAGACTCACTACTTAGGAAAATGGCCCATTTCATTTCTATAATACTATACCTTATTGAAAATGCTTGATACCATAGCTAGTATCTGTAGACCAGGTTAAGTGCCCTTGCATCATGAAGCAGCAGCTCTTGAGTTAAAAGCCTAAGGCTGGGCATATTATTTTTTTTTTTGTGCATATGTTGCAATACGTGACTTCCAGAGTATGTTCAGCAGTCATAGAAGAAAGATAAAAGGTGGATTCCAGACAAACCTGTTTCCAGTCGTTTCAACCACAGTTCTTTTACCTACTAAAAATGACTTGTCAGTTCAATGCATTACTGAATTGCCCTCAACCTTTCTGCTCAAAATACCTTAAAAAGAAATCATCTAATAGGCAAGTAAAGGTCATAATTAAAAATAAACCTAATCTTAGTCTTTTACCTTCCTTGGGACCTCTTCCTTATTATTACATCTTCTTAGCCTATTTCAATGTGTATGATTTCTCTGGTGACAATTGTGTTGACATAGTAAAATTTTAGAGCTACCAAAAAATTACTTTTGATCTAGCAGCACAAATCCAGCCAAAATAATTTCTATGCTACCTTAGGTGATTACAATTTTATTCATTGGCAGGCATGGTATACATACCTGTAATCCCAGCACTGTGGGAGGCCAAGGCAAGAAGATCACAAGTTCAAACCCAGGCTGGGTAATTTGATTCACAGAGATCCAGTCACAAAAAAGATAAGGGCTCTGGTAATAAAAGAGCCCTGCTGGTACAGGCATGGTACCAGCTGGAGGTATAGCTCTGTGAGAAGGCTCTCGGTTCCATTTCTGGTATTGCCAAAAGAAAGAATGAGAGAGAAAGGGAGGGAGAGGAGGAAAAAGAAGTGAAGAAGGAAAAGAAAACTAAAGTCTCCCAAATATGCATTCCAATATATAGCTCACCCTTCCTGATAGCAAAAGATTAAAGTATAAAGTCTGCTATTTACTTATTTAGTTAGTTAGTTAGTTAGTTAGCTAGTTATAGCCTTTGAAAAAGGTTCTAGCCTGGGCTCTGAAATTTTTCTAAGGATTACTAAAGATCTCTAAGCACAATGATAGAATGACCTGATTACTAATTTACAAAAAACAATACTGTTAAAAAATAGATTATGGAGGCTAGATTAAAGAACAAAACATTAAAGACATGCTATTTTTGCGTAAGTATTGCTGAAGAACTTTATTGTATTAGCATTTTCAGCTCAGGAGAAAGCTAATGAAAGCCTAAACTAATGGCATAGTAAATAGGAGATAAATTTGAAAGACATTTCAGAAGAATTTGGTGACTAATAATGATGGAAGACAAGAAAGAAAAGCCAATGCTAGGGTTTAATCTTAGGTGACAAGATAAATTGGTGCTGCCATTGCCAAAGAAATCAAGAAAGGGAACACAGTTTGGATGAGTAATACTGGATGACCTAAGTTTTTAGATATATTAAACTTGATTTGACTGCAGAAAATTG